ATTTTATTATAAAGTTCAGATTAGCAATATATAACTCTTTGAGAACTGAACTTTTAAAAATTTTTACATATAAAAATTCTTAAGTATATTTTTTTGCAGAATAAACAAAGTAGACTGTATATATATATTTACATAGTGTTGTTAGCTGATCGACTAACTACCGACCGGCTTGGTTGTCGGCCAATTCGTCAACTTAGCCGACTAAGTCATTAAGGGGTAAATGCAGGGTATTGCGATTTGGTTCATTTGATTGGTGATTAATTACGTAATTGCATGTAAGCAAAAAGTTGGTTTTCTTTGCTCTTTATTAACGTTATAAGTTGCAAAGTTTCAATTTTACATTATAAGCTTGCAATTCATATACATTGCTGATTAAGGGAAAGAGACTTACTTGTTACTTTAATTTCACTTTATAGTGGTAAATATTTTAGCAGCTATTAAAATATGATGGAAAGAAGTCGTGATGAAAAAGCTTTTCAAAGTTCATAAAAACGAAAACCAAATGCAGATTTCTTGGAATTTAGTTTTGATAAGAAATCTCAGCGAAGAGTATAACATTAGTGTGAAGGCAGGTAACATATAGACTAGGTGCTGAGAAAAGGGTCGAAATGGACATTTTTTTAAAAAACTTTTTTTTGAGCAAACTAATCTAAAATTAATCTGGAACTATCTTTCACTTAAGGAACATATTTAAAGTTTTTATTTTTTTATGATTTATTATAAAATTTATTAATTTTCTGCAAAACTCTTTTTTGTCTTTTTAGCACCAAGTCCATATTTACAAAACAACGTATGTTCATAAAATATTGATCTACTATTTTGATTTGTGAAGTAATAATGTTTTTTATTAAGCTATTCAATTTATTTTATTCTCGATATCTATAAATTCTTTATATTATAGTATATTTATAATAACTTTATTATGAAGCTAGTCTAAATAAAATGAAACTAAATGATCATTTTCTTTTAAAAATAATAGATCATGAACAGTATCAGGATTCAAATAATTTCACTTATCAGTAATTACATTACCTACATCTGAAAAGAGTCTTTCGGATGGTACTGATGTAGCAGAAACAGATAGAAACCTACGAGCCTGTCTGTATAATAAAGGAAAAGTTGTTTTTTTTTTCCTACCATCGTAAAGGATCATGAAGATGATATTGTGGATGATTTAAAGGTAATACAGCAAGAGCAAAAAGTTGTAAATAAAGAGATATTTCTATATCAATTTAGGATGTAGAAGGTTGTGAAGATGAATTTTGGTTAAAAAAATCTATAAATAAAGAAGTATTATTAGAAAAAGTAGTAGTTGATAATGTGTTAAAGGTTTCTAATAATTCGATTCAGTTTTTTAAATTTTGTTTGATGTTTTCTCTTTGAAGTGATGATAAAAAATTTAAAAATTTAAATCAAGGATCTAAAAAACTTGCTATACAGCCTAATTTATCAGGAATATTCTAACATTTATACAATAATGCTAAAATTTCGGTGCATACTATTCTAATTTGAGAACTTGTAATAGTTTGTAGAATATTGTTTAAATATTCTCTTAAGCAATGTAAAGTAAGATATCATAATGAAAGTATAGGATATAAGCTGCCTAATATAAGATTGGTCGCATCTACGAAAGGTCGAAGTAATAAAATTAATTCATCTAATGATGCCTAGTCTTCTGAATTAAGTAATAATTTTTTTAAATCATCACCATCACTTCATGTAGTTCTGTTAGAATTTGAGGCTAGCTTATTAGCTAATATAAAAAGCATATCACAAAAATAAATAAGCCTTTCTAATAAAAAAAATGTACTATTCCATCTTGTTTCTGTATCAGATGTAATAGGGTCCAGAACATTTATTTCTTTGATATCAGATTCTATTATTATTATAAAAAATATATATACATGCACAAAAAAAAGTATTTGTAATTTCTAATCTTAAAGATAATTTATTATACTTTAAAATAAATTAGAAATTGCAAATACTTTTTTCTTATGCTATATATAGATATATATAGTAATAATTAATATATATGTAGCAATAGTTATTGCTATTTTGTTTAAATTAGGTATAATAAATATAAATTACTTGCCTTTAGCTTTTATTTCACAAAAGATTGCTTTTATTAATGGATGGTATTTATCATGATTAACAATAAAATTATTTAGTTTTTTTGCAGCATCTATTAATTTTTTTATATGCTTTAATCTATCCTTAATTGCAAGTTGTATAGTGTGCGCAACATAATGAATATGATTAGTTTCTAACTGATGCATTGCCTTAACCATAGCTGAATCATTATTGGTTGTACTACCAAAAAGTTTTTCAGTAATATTTCATTTTTGGAATTCTTTGTGCAGACAATATTCAATATTATCGCCTGTATGAGAATACTTAAAAGTTTCAATTGTAAATAAAGCTGATTTAATATTAAAATCGGGAGTTATCCAATAAATTGTAATCCTGATATAAGGTTTATGATCTTGAGTCCACAAATCAGTTGTAAAAAAGAAAGATTCTATGGAATTGTTCATTAATTCACTTAAATTTTGCTCAACTGTACTAATGGCTTCGCTCATTTTTTTATATAAAGAATTTTTACATGGAATAGAATAAAATGATTCAAGTTCATGAATGAATTTTTGGAATTTCTGATTATCTACCACATGAAAGGTCTGCATATCATCTATTAACCAGTCTATTAAATGATATGTAATTCTATCAATCTTATTTTGTTCAAGTGAATAATCTTTAGATGTGTACATGTTAAACTTATTTCAACTTTTTCTTTTCCTTCAATAATTCGATGTTTGGCTCTTAGATGGTTAGCAATGTTAGTTGTGCTGGTTTTTTCTCAACAATACCATGGGCATTTAATTTTAATTCCATTATCTTCAATTAGAACTTGACATCATTGAGTTTTTTTATTAACGAATAACCAAACCCAGCTTTTAGCATTTTGATTAGCTGGAATAACTTTCATATGAGGCGTAGTAGGCATCGATGATCGTTCAATTTCATTATTTAAAGAATAATTCATATTTAACTTTGAAATTTTAACGATTTTTATTACAAGAATTTTATTACAAGACTTTATTGCAAGACTTTATTACAAGACTTTTAAATTTATAAACGATTATTCAAACGTTATTTCTACAACAATAAGCAAATAATCTAATAAAAACTTATAAAAAGAGATAATACTAAACTTGGCCAATAATATTATAATCAAGTTGGCCAACCAGCTTAGTCGATCAGGAGTCAACTAGCTGCATATTGGCTTATAACACTATATATACATATGTAACAATTTTGTAATTTTATTAAATTTATTATTGTTATGCTAAAATAATAATTTAACTGAATCATTCAAAAAAGCATTCAGCTAATTTTTATCCCGATACTGTTTCTGCCAATAAGAAATTTATTTGTCATGAGAGATGCTTATTATTTCCCTAAATAAAAAAAAAATATTATTTTCATTAAATAAAAAAATTTATAATTTATTAAGACATCACAAAAATTATTAAGATTTTTTTAATTGATTTGCAAAATTTTTAAATTATATTAACAAATACTTTTATACAAAATTTAATAACTTCTATTATATTAATTCTTTTTGATTTAGTAAGTTGATATTTATTCTTTAAAAGTGTTTTTATTAAGTAATATCCATATATTTTAAATATTAATTGTTTTTATATTATGTCTACTAGTATTTATTAAATAACAAAAAACTCTGCACTTAATATTTTGATTATATATATGCGAAAATAAAAAAATATAATATAGCAGAAGTTATTAAAGTTTGTATGAAGACATTTTTTATTAATGATTTATAATTTTTAAACTAATTAATAACATCCTAATAATTTATCCAGCAATTAATTCGGTTACTATTTTTTTTTGGATGATGTTAGAAATATTCGGGTCTGTAGAAAACAAATTAGTATAGTATGGTTTTCTAAAAAAAACTATACTATACTGATTCAGTATAATAAAAATTATATATTATAATATCTAATCAGTATGATATAGTTTTTTACTTATAAACTGTACTATACTGATCAGTTATTATATATAATGACTAATAAGTATAGTATAGTTTATCATATATCTCCTATACCATACTAATCTGGTTACCTATACCATACTGATATTCATTTTACCTGATACACAGTATCATATAGTACACAGTAGCATATAGTACACAGTGATATATAGCATACAGTAGTATATAGTATATACTGGCATACGATATACACTGATATATATTCTAATATTCTAACTATTCTAAATACAATATAAATTCTAATACAATACAAATTTAACAAAGAAAGGGTGTGGCAACTTAGTGAAGTTGATAAGTTGTCGCTCCTCCAAGCAGTAGGACAAAAGTTCAAATTCCACTAGCAATGAAATTTAAATTTTACAAAATGTGTTATAGCAGACTGTATATAATCTAATAGATCATTGAGATCTGTAAACTTGGTTGTACCAGGGCTTACTGAGAGGTTGTAGAATATTAGTATAATGTATGAGTTATACAAAACCTAAGTAAAGCAGCCAAATAAAACCAGGTATTGGGGCTATGATACACACAGGAGCCTGCTTAGCAAGTTCCAAGTAGAAAGGTAATACAGATCTTTAACGATATTATATAAAAGGTTATTTAAGGGATCTAGACATCAATTTCAATGATCTGGATGAGAACTGGTGTTTGGCAAGACACTATAACAACCAGGCTATTAAACAAGTAATTGAAGAAAAAGGATCTAACCGTAAAAATCAGAAGCAGACTATAGCCTATCTGGGCTATCTGAATTGGGAGTTTAAATTACTAATAGAATTTAGATATCAGTAATTGTCTGTAAAGTATATGCTGGAGTTTGGATAAACTCTGCAAGGGCAGAAGTAGATAATGGTAGTGGCTTTAGCTCAAAAGTACTTGTTCTTGGACTTGATATAAGTTATCAAAGTCTAAGTTAGTTAGATTTTGGATATGGAAAGCTCTAAATAATAATAGCTTGCAGATAAATTAGTCCTAAGGGTATTATATTAGAAAAGTATCTGAGACTTTCTACAACAAGTAATTGTAGTAAAGATATACTAGTGATACAAGCTGGATCTGCATTTGTAATATAATATACTGAGGTTCTATAAGTAAGCCTCCCACCTATATACTTGAATAAAAACTATAGTCCCAAAGAGGCTAATTATAAAACTTAAAAAAAAAAAAAAAAATTAATAAGAATTATATCTAAAATATAAACTATAAATTATAAAATATTGTTCTACAAAACTATTAGTATAATATTATAAAGTTACTCTATAATAGTATTAATGTTGCTTCATAAAAAGGTCAAAAAAATTTTAGTATATTTTTATTATTTCACAATCATTGTATTCTAAATATTTATTTCTTAAATTAGAATGTAATTGCATAAGACTATCAATAACATCTTTAATTTCAATGAATTGTTCAAGCATAAGATAAGTAGAATTCTATCTTGTATCAATATTGAGCTTGAGATAAAAAGATAAATGGTTTAGAATAGTAAATATTTTTTTAACATCTTCTAGAAGCAAGAGTAAGTTTCTAATTTTATTATAAAGATGTCACATTTTTTTTATCTAATTTGAATAAAATTTTTGACCTTCTTTTACAACAAGATTTAAAATATATACTGCATAGTGCATATATATAAGTATAGGATTTATATTTTGCTAAAGATAATGTATACAAGTTTGATTATTGGATACATTATTATTCATGAATCTAATTATCTTTTTCTTAATTCTAAAATCTTTTGTCAGTTTAAAAATATTTTCTCCAAAGTAATCACCAGTATATGCATTATATAAAAGAATAAGATCAAGGAGAATTATATAGATTGACTATTCGATATCAACCTAATAGATAGTGACTCTAAGAAAAGGCTGCTAAGTGCATATAGTTCATATATCTAGATAAAAGCTAATTTACTTTATTATTTTTTAAAAGATCTTTTACTTTTATTTTCTAATTCAAACTGGTTTTTAATATTTTTAGAAATAGTTTAATGACATAGAAGTTTGTAATATAGATTAAAGGCAATAATAAATTTAATAAAACAACTTTCTTCTAAAAGAAAAAGGCTGTTAACTAATTATTATAAACTCCAATAGACTATGATCTAAGAAGTTTATATAATTTTTATTAGCAATTAAATATCAGTCATATGATATAGCACAGGATAAATTTATATATATATAAAACTATAGCAAAAATATATAGAATTACATATAAACTTTGTTGTGATGATGTTTCTTCATTTACATATTAACTTTAAATTAAATTTTACGAAAAATATATCAAGAAAAGGAGAAAAAATTACATTTTAGACTGAATAAAAATCTTGCAATTTTGTGTTAAAAAGAAAAATTTAACAGTTTTAAGATAATAATTATATGTAAAATCATATTCTGAACAACTTCAGTCTAAGTGTACAAAAAGATTATCTTAGTAAAAAAAAGTTTTCTATGTACTAATGTCAAAATTTCTAGTTTTTCTATATAAAATTTTTTTTTTACTTAGATAACCTTTTCTGACCTCTTAAGCAAATTTGTTTGGCACATAATTCTACATACTTTGTATCTTGTCGATTTTGCTTTTTCATACTTTTTATTAAATGAAAGATTGGATTAAAAGTTATATGAAAAATTTTTTTTAAAAAATTTTTTTTAAAAAAATTTTTTGTGTAACTTATGATCTAATCTTTCACTTAGTAAAAAGTGTGAAAAAGCAAAATTAGTGAGATACAAAGTATGTAGAATTATGTACCAAACAAATTTGCTTAAGAGATCAGAAATAGATATCTAAATAGAAAAAAAAATTTTATATAGAAAAACTAGAAATTTTGACATTAGTACATAGAAAATTTTTTTTTTACTAAGATAATCTTTTTGTACACTTAGACTGAAGTTGTTTAGAATATGATTTTACATATAATTATTATCTTAAAACTATTAAATTTTTCTTTTTAACAGAGTTATATTTTTAAATTGTATTAAAATTGCAAGATTTTTATTCAGTCTAAAATGTAATTTTTTCTCCTTTTCTTGATGTATTTATTTGTAAAATTTAATTTAATAGGCAAATCATGAGTCATCTAAACAAAATATTTATTTTTTATATATAAATTTTATTATAAGTACGAATGTGGAGCATGCCTATCTAAAACTTTTTTTCTTACTAAGTAAATCACTCTTGGGCTTGTAACAAAAGTTGTAGAGCTCATCAAGAGACATCTAATAGTAGTAAGAATATTAAAATTGGTTTGGTGGTTCTTGAGAAATCTTTAAAAACTTCTTTTTTACATATAAAATTTCTTTAAAAAAAATTGATTTTTTTAAAGAAATTTTATATGTAAGAAAGAAGTTTTTTAAAGATTTCTCAAAAACCACCAAGCTAATTTTAATATTTTTACTACTATTAGATACCTCTTTATAAGCTCTACAACTTTTGTTACAAGCCCAAAAGTGATTTACTTAGTATGAAAAAAAGTTTTAGATAGACGCGCTCCACATTTACACTTATAGTAAAATTTATATATAAAAAATAAATATTTTGTTTAGATGACTCGTAATTTGTCTATTAAAGTTAATATGTAAATGAAAAAACATCATTGCAACAAAGTTTATATGTAATTCAATATGTTTTTGCTATAGTTTTATATATATATAATTTTACTTCGTGATATATCGTGTGACTGCTATAGAGAAGGTTGAATAATTTTTGTAGACTTTCGAAATTTTTTAAAAATATTTAGGTGTTTTTATTCAAAATAGCATACTATTATCAATAACAATGTGAATAAACCCTATTTATCTTTAATACCTTTATTACAAACTTTACAAATATAAGTATCATTTTCAAGCATATCAAGATACTTGTAAATAGAATGCAGATTTTTTTGTTTTTTTTTGTTTTTTATTTTTTGATTGTTTAGTAATTTGATTCAGACTACTAATATTCTTAAAAGAGTTTTTGAAAAAAAG